TGCTCTTCCAGAGGTCCTGAGTTCAATTCCCAGCAACCACATGGTGGCTCACAACCATCTGTAATGAGATCTGGTGCCCTCTTCTGGCCTGCAGGGACACATGCAGGCAGAATACTGTATACATAATAAATAAATAAATCTTTAAAAAAAAAAAAAAGATTATGTTGCTGTTTTTCTTAAAAAATATGTCAGTGTCTTTGTTAGGGTTTCTATTACTGTGATAACGTACATGACCAAAAGCAACTTGGGGAGGAAAGGATTGACTTGACTTCTGTTTACACATCACCATCCATCATCAGAGGAACTCAAGGCAGGAACCTGGAGGCAGGAACTAAAACAGACTACGGAAGAATGCTGCTATAGGCTTGCACCTCCTGAATTGTTTACCTTGCTTTCATTACACAACTCAGGACCCTCTGTCCAGGGTCAGTGCTATCCACAGTGGGCTGGACCCTTCCACATCCATAATTAATCATGAAAATGCCCTACAGACTTGCCTAGAGGCAATCTGATGGAGGCATCTTCTTGGTTGAGGTCTAGGTTTGTGTCGAGGTGACACACAGTGAGGATTTTAAAAACCTGAACTTCTTTTGGTGTGATCTACTTTCTAATTCTAAATCAAATAGTTTTCATCTTTGTGTTAGTTACCTTAGTGTTGTTGTGACAAAATATTTGAGCAAAACAAGTTGAGGGAAGCAATATGTGTTTTGGCTCATGGTTTTAATCCTTCGTGGTAGAAGGGTGAGGTAGAGCGGAGAGTGAGGGGTGTCTGTGCTTGCTTTCGGGCTCCTTCATCCTGTTCCACCTCAGGTCGTGGTATTTGGACACAGTACAGCCCACACTGAGGGCGTTTCTTAACTGCCTTAGTTTAATTAGTCTTTCCTGGGAGCCCTCAGAGGCACAGCCGGATGTGCACGTCACTAATCTTCGAGGCATCTCTTAATCCAATCAAACTGATAATCTCGATTAACCATCAGTGTCCATCCCTTGTAAAATGGAAAGCCAAACATCTCCTTAAGCCTGTTAATATTCCACCCTGCCCCCTAAGAAGTTCACACCTACTTTACAATGCAAACTGCATCCAATTCATCTGTAAAGGTCCACATCTCAACAGTTCGAAATCGCTCAAAAATCCAAGTTCAACGTCTCCTCTGAGACTCTTGGCTGTGTGCCTGTTTTATATATTTTTTTAAATACATATTTTTTCCTTCCTCCCTCCCTCTCTGTCTCTCTTTCTTCCTTTTTTCTTCTTTTTGTTTTTGTTTTATTTTGCTTTTTGAGACAGGGTTTCTCCGTGTAGTTTTGGTGCCTGTCCTGGAACTCACTCTGTAGACCAGGCTGGCCTCGAACTCACAGAGATCCACCTGGCTCTGCCTCCTGAGTGCTGGGATTAAAGGCGTGCGCCACCACCTATGTGTTTCTAACATACATTTACACAAATTAAAACTTTCTATTCTAAAAGGAAGGAATGGGGTTCAGAGATAGAAACGAGGAGCAGTGTCTCAGTCTGGTTGCCATGGTTGTGATAAGACATCAGGACAGAAAACAATTTAGAGAGGAGAGAGAGGGTTTATTTGGCTTACAAGTCCCAGTACGAGCCCAACACGAAGGGAAGGAGTCTGGAGGCAGGAACTGAAGAGGACCCAAGGAGGAGAGCTGCTTACCGGCTTGTTCCCCGTGGCTCGCCCAGTCTGCTTCCTTATGCACCTTAGGACCTCGTGCCCAGGGGTGGCACCGCCCACAGTGGGCGGGGTCCTCCCACATCCATCATCAGTCAAGAAAATGGCTCGGACACGCCTACAGGCCACCTAATGGAGGCAGTCTCTCCACTGAGGTTCTCTTCCCAGATGATCCGAGTTTGTGTCACGTTGTCAGAAAACACTAACCAGCACAAATAGGTTGAGAGCGAGACACGTGTCCCACAAGGCACACATTAAATTCTGTAGCTCCATATCTAGCATTTGGGGCCGATGTTGCCAGCTGCAGCCCAGATGGCTTATTCTCAGGCTGACTCTGCTCACTGCCTGTGGTTTTCAGAGGCTTAGTTTTCTAAGACAGACTCTGAAGTTGAAATACTGGCTGGGCTTGAACTTGTGGCGATCCCCCTGCCTCAGTCTCTCTAGTGCTGAGATTGCAGGTGTGAGACAAAATGAAACGGCTTTATTTTTTTTCCCCCGAGTCATGAAGGTCTCCTATTTTTTTTAACTTTTATGAAATATATGAGTGTGGGTGCCACAAAGGATGGAAGAGGTCAGGTCCCCCGGAGTTAGAGTTACAGGTGGCGCTGAGCTGCCCGATGTGAGTGTTGGGAAGTGAACTCTGCAACTGGCATTCATAACTACTGAACCGTCTCTCCAGTCCCAAAAATATTCCATAAGATTCATAAAATAGCCAGGCGTGGTAGGGCAGCCCTTTAATCCCAGCACTTGGGAGGCAGTGGCAGGCAGATCTCTGTGAGTTCAAGGCCAGCCTGGGCTACATAGCAAGCTCCAGGACAGCTAGAACGACACAGAGAGACCCTGTCTCAAATAAACAAACAATTAAACAAATAAACAAATACCCAAGATGTATAAAATAAAGTAATGGGATTTTAAAAATATGTCAATTAGGTTGAAATACAATGATAACATTTAAGATACAAATGTGTGTTGTGTTAAATAAAAAGAGCTGTGGCAGACCGAGACATTAAGGGACGAAGAGCGTTGTTTACATTCGAGAGATCCAGGCAACAGAGTGTCCATTAGTGACAAAAGGCCGGCTGTCACTTCTGGGTGCAGTGTGTGTGTTTGTGATGTTTGGCGTCTTTCCACCCAGCGTGTCAGTACTGAGACCCCACAGCAAACCCTCCTCTGAGCCCCACGGCCTGCTCTTGTGTTCAGCAGCTCTTTATGAAGCGCCTCAAAGGAAATGCCTTTAACTGCAGTCCAGGCGCAGAAGCTAAACTCACGAAACTTACCCGTGCTTTCTTCATTTTGGTTTTGAGAGCTGGAGATCAAACCCAGGGTCTCCTGGGCGGTGGTGACGCACGCCTTTAATCCCAGCACTCGGGAGGCAGAGGCAGGCGGATCTCTGTGAGTTCGAGGCCAGCCTGGTCTACAGAGCGAGATCCAGG